TATTGTACACATAAACATAATTTTCACTAAAATATGTCGACATCTTCAAATTTTTGTTAAAAATATGGCAACAATAATGGACGCTTTAAATTAAGACAAACTTTCTTCGTGCCGAAGAGACCGGCTTGAGAATCTCCGAATCTCCAGGTTAGGTTGGTTACCATAATTCAGTTTTAATCTTGGTTAAAGGTAAAATTCTCGTGAACTGTTTTCGCTTATGGCACTGTATTGTTGATTTGACTGTTGATCTCGGTAATGCTAATACTTTGCACTTACTTTCTTTTTATAGTATATGTTTTATAAACGTTCTTACAATGCTGTTCGTTTTTCTGAAATAAGAAAGCCGTCTAACTACGAAACACTGAACTTTCAGTCCTGTCACAGAACGGTGCGAAGGATACACTTGAAATTAAAACGCTTATGAATATGTTTATCCTTTCCATTATGAATTTTATTTGATTACTTTTCATGTCTGCCCTTGACAATTCCTTTACAAGCATATATGTTAAATACTATCTTATTTTAAGTATACAAAATGACCGCCTTCAAGGAACAAAGAGATCGTATTTGAGGGATGGCCAGTGTTCTAACTTTTGCACCATTCTGTATAGGCTTGCGTTAGAATAGATAATACCTATTAATAGAGACTTAGTTTAATGTCGTATTTAAACAACTTTCAAATTACGAAATTCCTGCTTGTTTGTAGGGGTCAGGCGGTAACGCCCAGTAAGAGAAACTTTATTGTTAAACCGCGTCCCCACACGCCGTCATTTTTAGTAGGTACTGCTGCAGAAACTCCGCTCCATTGTCTCATCCTGGAGACATCGCTTTCATTTTACAAAGCCGATGGGCATTGTTTCCAGTCTTGCGTGAACCGAAATTACTGTATTTACGTAAAAACTAATATTCATGGCTTAAATATTCCTCTGTACCGACATGTTGTTGGGTGGAACTGTGGGATTCCGCTTCCGATGGCTTTAGTAAAAAGTCAAGAGAACGCTGGTTTGAATATCGACTTACACAGAGAGGCAATGAAGAAGTCTTATTGAGCGATCACTTTTTTCTAAACGGAATAAAAATTCCACGTGTCGGACAATGTCTTTGTCTTCATGTGATGAATAGCTGAAATTTTTCAATATGTTCTACACGCAGACCCAAGACCTTTACGGAGACAGTGCAGATATCTGTGGTCCTTCGCCACTACGTTCACTGAAGATGTGTTCGTTTATGCCCTAACGTAAGCAAATATCATATGGTCCCGTCTAAGTCTGTCGCATTCTTTCAGAAGATAGGCAACCATCAAGTTCAAGGCCACTGTTGCACTAAAGTGGGAACCGTATTAATAATAACCAATTTGTGATAAAAGTTGCTGGTACATATTTTATATTTATGGTCAGACCTCACGGGATGAGACGATACAAAATAATTTTTCAGTCGCATACGTTATGTAACATCGAATGGTAGGATGCTCTTATAAATGCTAAGCTGGAAAAGGTGTGGAAGGAAGCAGTCGTGGTCGAGTTTAAGGCACTCTCCCAGAATTCGCCTAAATGTGCTAAGTTAATAACCATAGTGAAGATAACTGGTCCTCGCACCGAAATTCAAATCCATTATCCAGGAAATTCGAAGCGGAGGTACCAAGTAGTCATTCACATCATTCAGCATCAATGCCAAGCCATTGTGAACGGAGTATAATAATTTTTCGATCTCATGCTCGCATTTGAATGAGATGCACGCAAGGTGAACAAAATTAACTGACTTTTTTGCTCCACTCTTTAATTAAAGCACAACTTGATTTGTACAACTACCTTCATTCATACAGGACTGCTCACTCTAGATATATCGTATGTGCTGCAGCTGCTCAAACAATCCAGATTATTTGCATATGTAACCGAGGAAAGCAATAAAACATGTACAGATTTGGTTGATAAACCGCAGAGGACATCACCGTTTGGAAGAATAATAGAATGTTAAAAAGATCTTATATAAATCGTTAGTGAAGATACTGTGGAGCGGATTGCATTGACTTTTGTGAACACTGTGATGACTTTTCACGGTTTTAACCTAGGGAAATTCTTAGCCTGATCAATAACTATCAAGTGGCCGTGGAAGTTGGTGTCTAATGGACTTCTGGACCATGAAAGAGTGCGATATTTACTTAAGAATTCTCTGCGGGCTTCTTTTTATCTGTACTGAAACGAACCATGGCTTCATTAGACATTGACGTCCGAATCCCATGACTGAAGTGATGTAAGTTTTATTTATCGACGTTTATATTGTGCTGTCATTCAGTGAAAAGTTTGACACAGACCACCACCGCGGCAGAGACAGGTCTTTTATCTCCAGCGATTTATCTTTGTTAAGTCAAATACTAAATAACATTCAGTATTTGATATGTCTTCACCATCCGGAAGCTATCTCGAGTGTCTGTCTTCGTTTTTGCACGCACATGTCCTACGGCAATAGTTTTCGATGTAGTTTTGATCCCTGTCAAAATCTGAGCATAAATAACTCAGACATTTAAGTGACTGGGTGTGGGCTGGTCGACCGATGTTCGATTTCCGGCAGGAACAGGGATTGTTTCTTCGGCAGTGCGCCCAGAGTTGCTGTTGGTACCGAGGGCAAAGCGACTAAAGCGTGATCTCATGGCTCACCTTCAGTGTTGAAATTAAGTACGTGTGGAAATGGTTGGGCACAGGACAGCTTTTATTTTGTTTTATTACTTGACTCAGTTGCTTGAACTGTGAGTTTATTGTGTATGCACATCGAATCAAGTGTTTGTCTTATAATCTTATCTCCTGAGTAACTCGAAATTTGTTTGGTAGAGGGCAACGTTCCTACAGGACTGTGCTTAAGAGTCTCTTTAGTTTACCAAAAATATCTTTGTTCGTTTGGCAGTCTTTCCATGCAAATTTTGCTATACGTTTGATGAATTGCACCTCAGCAGCTGTGGCCTTGGAATTATTGTTCACATTTATTGTCCATTTGTTTTAAATATAAAGTATGTATACAAACAAACCCGTTTACACTTTGAAAGACTCTTATGCCATTAGTGCCAGTTTTGTTTATATACATACTTTATATTTCAATACACTACACGATATGAAAGGTTTTAAGATAATTTACTTTAAACAAAAACCACATCATAGTGGGGGAAGGGGGGCAGAAAGCAAAACGAAACAGGCAGATAAAGTCTTAAAAGGTAATTCCATAAGTGTGGAACTCACCAGGATCTTGGCGATTGTTATGCTAGGTACCGTTTCTTACCATTAATAATTATTGTTTTATTGTTCTTGGAGATTTAGTTACTTGCCTTCATTTCGTTACTTTTTAGTTTTGTTTTCAAGGCCACTTTAATTTGCTGTGATCCTTGCAGTGTCTTTGACCTTGTAACACATGTCTTGCTTCTTCGTAAGCTGGCGAATATGGATTACTGTTGGTTACGTAACCTGGTTCCATACTTAGTTAACCAACAGCCTGTCTCATGTTTCTTTATTCTGGAGCTCTGTCATCGCCTTTTGAATTAATATCCGGTATTTCGCCAGGATGTATTTTGGAGCCTTTGATATTTAACGTTTTCACCAATGACTTGCGTAATACTATAACATATTCTTTTTGCTGATATAAAAATTTCCGTGTCATAAAGTCTACACAAAATTGGTCTTAATTTTAATCGGACATGAACTCCATGCGGGGCTAATGCATAACTGTCCAATATGAAGCTGAATGTTAATAAAAAAAGAGTTACTTTTTTCACAAAGAAACATAAAATGCTTTTTTTAGTATATTCTTTCTGGAGCCCGTGTTGATTGTACTAATGCTATCAGAGTTATGGGATCTTTTCCTTGATTCAAAACTTTATTTGTGAAAAACAAGTTAGATTGAGCGCCGCTATACGAGGTCAGATAGGACAAGGGCAGACAGTTAATTATACATCTTCTATGGAAATGGGAAAGGAGGTCATCACTTTGCGACAGGCCGTTTTGTATACAAGGGGGTCGTATCAACAGAGTTTGTTAGCTATTGGCTGTCGTTTATAAAATTAAGAGGTCGTTTGTGTGATATTGTTCTGAATGCACCAAAAAGTGAGGAAAAGAGCATTTTAAACCAACAGTGAATGAGTTTAAACTAAACTAGCGGTGATAATTGGGTTAGAGTAGTAAACTTTGCCACACCAACAAATCTAGTTCATAAATACACATGCCGATTTCTTCTGACGGAAAAACACACAATCAGATTGATCACGTCTTAATATACAGAAGATTCCGATCAAGTATAACCTATTTGATGATGGATATTTTACAGGGGTTGACTGTGATAATGACCACTATTTGATGGTTGCAAAACTTGGGGAGAGACTATAGATTTATTCCAAGTTCAGAGTTCAATCTGATACACAATTACACTTTCAGGAACTATTCAATGAAATAGGCGAGGCATGTAGCATGAACATGCAACGCTTTAAAGGGAAAATTTGCACTGAAGAAACTACATAGGAGGTTGTGGGTAGACAGGAGAAAATTTTTAAAATTGACGTGAAACAGCTATAAGTGGAATCAACTAAAAAGACCCAGTGGCTTGTTTCTCTGTGAACGCGGTAATGAACTTCTCATTTCTTCATCATCTGAACGACTTTAGGTTTCCGAAGGACTCTGACCCATAAAGTTAGATTGAGAAACATGATGATGTAGAAGATTATATTTATTTGTGCTTAAGCGAATTAGATGAACCGTTAAAATACAGAAAACGAAAATACAATTGTGGTATTATCTGTCATTCCAAGTTTCCGACTCGATGGTCAGTGTTGCATTAAGACCCATCCGAATGTCTTGCAATTGCTCGATTTTGTAACTTCATCATAATCCTGTTGTAATAATGAGGGGTTTAGTGCAAAAGGGATGTAAACTCGCGGATAAAAGGTGAAAAGTTGATAATCTATGTGAATTTAAATACACTATTTCATGGTTTGTTTCTGTGAGATACTGTATTTGCAATTACAGGTGGCATTATGGAAACGTGGTGTGGGTTTCTTAACACCAACGAGCTGCTGTGTCCTAGAGCCAGTTTAGGAGTTTGGCATACACAAAACTCCCACAGCTGCTGGAAATCGAAATGCAGTGTCCACGTTCACAGCCACTTTACTGGCTAAGAAAAACTTTGCTGTACACCGTATGTGTTTTAGCTGTACCCTACTTAAGTTGGCGTTGAAACGTTAAGAGCTCTGTCCTGTGATCGCCCTTGAATGTGACAGAATAGCTGTACTACTCTGTGTTTAGAAACGAGTTATTTAAGGTCTCGAACACACCGTAGCAACCCCGCCCAGTCTGGAGAAGTCTGCGGGCAACACAAAAAGTTAAAAAAAACACCAGTTGCAGTAATGGGCCTATTTCTGCTCAGATGAGTGAAAATAAGTAATGGTATCTTACGCAGTTTTAGTAAATTAGCAGTTACTTCTGATAAAAGGACGTGTTAATAAATAATAATAGTATGTGTGTGCAATTTCGAATGGTTTCTAAGTAGGATAGTGACATCACTTTGACCGTCTTAAACGTATATAGTCTGCTCATATCCCACCAATCGTAAACTTTTACTTTAATCTTATACCACTTAGGATATCGTGAGAAGAAAACCAAAGACAAAAGTATTGCTTCGCACATATCAGGACATTTTCATAATGGTTGTTCATTTGTAAACGTAATTCACCCGTTAATACAAATTCTTATGTAATCTGTATTATAATGATTTGTACCTATCAATCATTTCTTATTTTTACCTCACATATTACCAGCTTGAAGGCCGGTTCTTGTAGATCTGTCTTTATGTATCATCGTACGTCAAACTAAACTTATACATGATGATAAGGCACTAGCTACAGTGTACTATTCGCTTTGTTCTCCTCATGCTAATCTACAACGGATCATTTTGAGCTGTCTCTTTGTTAGTTATTGCTCTGAGCGTGACGCAGTGCAGTTATTCCGTCCAGAGAGGTAGACAATCGTGCGTTAAGAGGCATTTGTAATGTAGAATGTCAACTTGCCATGTGCTCTGAGGTGGACATTAAGCAAGCCGGAGTTCTGCATAGAATGGCAGCTTTATGTCTGTCTACAATCAGAGGAAGGGTTTGGAATTACGTGAATCTGTGTTTTGTCTGTGCTTCGGACCCTGCGTTTTGACAATAGCAGTTCCCGTCATTTAGTCCCGCTCTATGAACATAAGAAATTTAAGTTTAACGCGATGTTAAGGAATCTCTTCTTCAGATACCATGGAGATTAAAGGAATTAAGGTCGGAGTCTACAAATTAGCACTTATCTGACCGGTAAGTACTATATAATTTACAGATACCTGATATTTATCAGGATAAATAATTTTCAGTTTGTAATATCTGGTTTTGTTCAATGTCGGCTATTGGCGTAGGAAATATAAATCTTACTTTAAATATTTTTTCTCTTAAATATTTTTCAGTACTGAAAACAATGCGAATTTTAAGTGCCGTGATTTGGCCCGGGTACAGCATCCAGTATCTGACAGCGATTTTAGACTAAATTTTGTAAGATAAACGTTACCAGAATGGGCTTTCGCAAGAAATCGATTTCAGGACACGAAATTTTTAAGCCCTCACACAAGCTCAAATTGTTTGTGGGAATGAAAGGGTATGATTGTTCCAGAGAAATATTCCCTTCGGGTCAAATAACGTGGGTGGTTGTGGTCACTCTTCATGAGTCATGTTTGTGTCCCGTTGCGTTGCCAAATTTCATGTTGTTAGCTGGAAAAAAATGACTGCCGAAACAAAATCAACAATCCACTCGATCATCAGTTTTATAATTTCGACATAAAATTGGCCGATTTGTTACAGCCTGATTCTTGAAATGTTACTTAGCTCTACCTTTGTCTGTATTTATTTATATGTGACTGTGTGTTTATCATCGTTTCTTTTCTTTAGTTCATTTTTACGAAACCTAAAGAAATGAAGCCGTAAATAAGTCAAGAAGGTTACAAATTAACATAGCGACTTACGTCTGTTTATTTCTGCTGGTCTGAGTTCCCACTTCTTGAGAGTTGTGAATGTAACCTTAATGGTTTTGCATCGTCTGTAATATTTAAAATAGAAACAGTTTACGTACAACGTCTTCAGATATGAGTTTTCTTTAGTTACTTCTTCCTTATTATATTCTCCAGCCCTATATACAGCTATACTGTTGTTCCCAGGTATCCAATAAAGAAAATACAAAAAGTAGGCAAGTACGAAGAAGTATATATTTATTCATATTGTAGCAGCCAGTGTTCGTCAGTCTTGTCTGTGTTCCGTTTGTGCGATGTGGAAAAAGTTCTGTCGTTGGCGTATGTGGTAGCAAGAAAGGCAAACCAGGCTATGGGGGCGCCCGTGGCGGGGTTTGAAGTTGGAAGGAGTCTGAAATAAGGCGGAAGTTTTGTGTTGGTGCCTTTGGCAATAATCTGGTTTCAGTCGCCGAGAAGATTTCACATTTAATATACTTATAACATTTTGTAAATTTTGTATTTTCAGTGCGATTTGCAAAGATAATTTTGCAGTAAATTCATCACAAAATAAGACTCGTTCCCGTCAACTTTGACTGGTTATACGGTAGGCTAGTATACAGGGCTATTCAAAAAGATTGTCGGGGTTTTAAAAAATCACTACACTTAGTACAATTGAGGTAGGAATACCAATCTTGTTTTATTGTGTAGCAAAACTCTGAAAGTTTTTTACATGCATTATAAATGCTCAATATGTGCGCCTTCTGTCAATCTGCAGACATCTACACGATAGTCCATTTCTTCCCACACACGCCCCAGCGTGTCAGCGGTGATGTTTAGAATGGCGGCTCTGATACGTACCTTCAGATCCAGGATAGTCGCAGGTAGAGGGAGGACAAAGACTTGATCCTTCCCAAATTTCGTGTGGAAGTGCCGCTGGACAATGGTAACGGACCGACTTTGATGATATTCGAGAGTACAAAAAACCTTCTTCTTACCGTTAGCCGCCATATTGCAAAATCTGACACCTGGCGGCCAAACGCGAAACTACTGGATGGTGGGCGGTACAGAACAAAACTTTGAGAGTTTCTCTATCCACCAGTGTAATGATAATAGTCGTATGTTTAATGCATTGCCCCACAAAAATCCTCAAAACCCCGACAATCTTTTTGAATAGCCCTGTATATGCAGAAAATTTTAGGCGCTGACACGCGAATTCTAGTCATAGCGGCTTGGCGCTCGGGGTTTGTGCGGGTCTCTCTTAGACAGAAGTATAAATATAAATTACAGAACAGTAGGCCTATATAAATTAAAATAATATAGGTATTGCGTGATTGGCATTGAAGTATTGTGGTTTTACGAAAGTTGGCAATCGTGATTCACAGACGTGCAGAGCCCTTCATAGCGACACGCACTTCAGCCAGGCAACAGTACTTGAACATCAACAGACAAGACACATCACGACACGACACGACACGACACGACACGACACGACGAAGAGGGGTCGAGACTCAGTACACTTGTAAGTGTAACAGTGAAATGAAGTATAAAATAGGATAAAAAGTAAACTAGAATAGGAAGTAAATAATAAATAAGTTCACGGAAGTTTAATTAGAACTGCAGAAGAAAAATTAGTGAATTTTAATTAGAACGCTCGAAAAATAAAAAAAATCGTCTGGATCTACTCATAAATATTTATACAGGTTTTATATTACCACATTTATATGTACTTATTCACCAATTTATTTATTGTTAGTACGTACGTGTAAGGAAATTAACGAGTATTATGAAGGAGATGCTATTTGTACAGTTAATGAACAATTGTAATTAGAATTTTTAAATACTGGGAACTTCTAGGTAAAATGTAAGACTTGAGGTTCTCACAGCGGTGAGTATGAAGATTTCCGTCTTCTGGGTTGTTGCGCTGTGTAGTCTGGTCGATGTTAACCAACGTTTCAGATGTCATACTGCCTCCGTCATCAGGGCGATCATCCTGATGATGGAGGCAGCAAGGATCTCTGAAATGTCGGTAAACTTCTACCAGACTACAAGGCGTAACAACCCAGACGACAACCGTCTTCAGACTGACTGCCGTAAAAACCTCAAATCCTACAAAGACATTCTTTCAGACGCACATAGATACGTTGAATGGGAATCGTGCCCGTTTAGATTTTGCCCTTCGAAATTATAAAATTACGTTTCGAATGCTGAATTCTGCTTTCATCGTCAGATATAAAGGGAAGGATGGCAGACAGGGGCCCAACAAATAGGTTTGTTTTCTGTTCTCTTTCCTTTTTGCCTGATGACGAAAGCAGAATCCAGCATTCGAGACGTAGGTTTATAATTTATACGATGAACAAGGTCCATAAAAGCAACTTAACGCAATCAAATGATAGGAGTTATATGGCTCCTTCTGCGAAAATCTTAAAGATGTCTTCAGCGACAAGTGTCCATCACTATCCTGTTTCAGAATGCGTGGAGCTTTACATATACGCCCGTCTACGCTTTGATATCAAGTTACTTAGGCACTGGGCCGGTCTTCACAGTTTTTCATCCCCTCGATGCAGTCAAAACCAGTCTTTTCCATATTTCAAATTAAAAACATCTAAGACTGGAACTTCATTGTAGGCCTACAAAACAAAGCCTTGCTTGAAGTCCCCCCCCCCCCCCCGCAGTTAGCTCTTAATCTTGATCTGATTCAGTCCAATCCACACCTTTGTTTCCCCAAGTTTCAATTTAGTAGTATCTTCCTATATTCGGCAAGTTTTTTTGTGTGTGTTCCGAACAGAATATTGTATGCATTTACCATTATCCCAGTCGCGCTACATTTCTGACCAATCTTATTCTCCTTATTTAATCTCACTACAATAATATAATTTCCGTTGTTGCAGTCCGGTTAGTCAGTGAACGCACTAAAAATTTATCCACTCACTAAAGGCCCCAGACTTTCAGCACGAAAGTCTCGTACATTGGTGATGATCACATGTTACCGGTGCATATCCCGGGCCTTGTGAAACTTCATCCGGCCACGTTCGGCGCTGAAAGCGGTTGCCCTCGGCGTCCATGCACTACTGGACGCGATGCTCGAAATTGGCAAATACACGCTGTCACATGTAAAATTACTTGTCGCGAATAACCACACTGTTGAAACGCCTCATAAATTACAGAAGTTGTACTGAAGTGAAATTTTATAGGGGAAATTCACAACGGCAACATTTGTATCCAGGAATAATTACTAACTTAAATGATTATTATTTTAAGGTGCTTTTGATCTGTCCACAAGCATTTAACGGTTTGAAGTCCTGGAAGGGAAATAAGTTAATTTGGGCTCTGTAGTGCTCGTAATGTTTATAAAATCTGGACGAAGCGTTTACGTCTCTTTCTCGACACGCCATATGGGACTGGCAAGAAATTTGTATTGCCCTGTATGTGCACGCACACAAAACGGAACATGAACAACAAAGCCCTTGCAGCGGATGGTCTGCCAAATCATGGTTCAGTAACCCAGTATCTGAGCCATCAGCCAGCCAGCTGTTCTTAGTTCTAGTAACCTTGTTCTCAGTATATAAGCACTAAATATTTACACGTTGTAAAGCTGCCATTTGCTGTTGTCGGTGATTTCGATCTCATTTAACGACATTATCTAGGCTTTCCTTAGTTTTAACAAGCCATAATATAAAATTTTAAGGTTAACATGAATAATTTGCCCAAATCCCGCTCATAGGCCTATAGGGAATGCTGTGCGTGTGTTCAGTAAAAGTTTTTGGTCGAATTTAGACTAACTTTTGTTTTTATCTGTCTATTACCAGTTTCATAAAAGTTGGCGAATATTTTCAAAAACGTATGTATGATGTAAGGTGTGATTAATTAAGATCTACAACTTTCATTTGAAAAAAAATTTCGTGTGATGTATATTTAATAAAGTAAAGAAACATAATTACAGGAAATGCAAAATATAAAATTACAGATATGGAAAATACATATAGGCCTATTATGGATTAGATACACATTTGCACTGTTTTTATGTTTTCAGGTGCAGTTGAATAGTGGGTACCTCTTGTTTTTATGGCTTGCTTTTATCTTAGCTATAGGGTTCATACATTCAAATCTTGACTGTTCGGCTGAATGTTTTGTGTGATTCCCACTTCTTCATTATCGTTTTCGATTCTGTGGAAGGTGGCCGGCTATTCTGACACTGACTGACAGATGTTTTCCTCAGTCCCCCCAGGCAGCTTCTGGAATTGTTCTTGAAAGCCGATCACAACCACGTCCGTTCCAGTTCATCTTTCATTATAAATCTTTAGTTTAACGCTGTCTTATGTGGTTCAAAAACCATCGTTACATAAACATAATAAAACCACTGCCAGTTTTACATTTTCCGGGTAATACAGTTCACGGATAGTGGGTGTGCCACTTGATCAACTGTCGGATATCTTCAGATTATTGTTTGTTGAATAATTCTATCGTTATTTAATAACTTGTTTACAGTTATAGGAATGGGAAGATGATTTTGAACCACGATTTGAAAACAGGCGCTAATGGCCCATTTGAAATCAGTGTTCCAAAATTGGTCTAGAGAAATTGGGCAGTCGACGGAAAAGCTTGGAAGATAATCGGTAGCCTAACCCACAATCAGACCGCGTCCGTCCCAAATACAGAAGTCACAGCCTTGTGCTCAGTTTCTTGCTTGCTGTAAGTCTGATTTTGGTAAACACCATTCCGAGGTGTCCTTGAGAAGTAAATGTGAAATAATCTGTCTTTCCATCCATCCATGTAGTAAACATCTTATTCTAAGCAGTGAATTATCAAAGTAGCTGGGTCGATTTTCCTTGTATAGGTGGGGTTACATCACTCCTAGAGAATAGACTTATAAAAAAAGTAGTCTTCCATGAACTTTAACACAGAAGCTTCCGTCGCTGTACTTTATTCGTGAGGCAGAATATTGTCTGTGTTAACTCGTAGTCATGAGTGAATAATAGTGCTCGTGGCAACATATTGTTCGTGAAAACACAAATTCTTGCTCTGTCATAGATGCACAAAAGAGGAGATTCATACTTTGTATTCTTCACCACATATGGTGATAAAACCAACGAAAATTATTCATAGTTCGCATGGGGAGATAAAAATTTTATTTGGAAAACTTCGTAGATGGGTTGATGTCACATATGATATAAGCTTGTATATCAATATGTTAAATTAGTATTGAAACGGAATATGTAAATAATTTGTAAATATCAAAATTAGAGTAAGATTCAATGAAAACAGAATTCAGTCCGTTCTAAAAAATCAAATTAAATTATACTCGCATGCTCAGAACAAGCTATAACCACTGTAAGATTGTAAAAGAAAGCTGGAACGTTTTAATATGTTCAGCGCTTATGATACCTGATGTACTACGTATAAGCCTTTCAGGTGGATGACTCTGTAATTGCTTCTTGTTCGTGCAATTGCCTTGCTGGCTACAATATTATGTAGACCAGGGTGTTCCAACGTTTCTCTCAAGGGCCAGGAATTGTTTTCATGTTTGACCCAACGCCCAAGAAATCTATCCTGGGACTATTTTTTAAATAATAACCAATTGTCTTTGTTTAACATTACTTGTTTAGAAATGAAAAATTACAAAACACGTGGACAAATTATTATAGTTGCATAAAGATGTACGTAAATTGTTTTTACAACTTTACTAGCGAATAAAACCTTTATGAAAAACATAGAAACACTATGGGCGTCAAATACGAGAGAAACTCTCAGCATTTGTTCTGAACATTGTACACATCCCACACGGGCACCATTTCTCACACATACAATGTCAAAACGATGGTATGTGAATGTGTGGACTGGATATATATGACTCAGTTTACGGTCCATTGGCTGGCTTTTGCGAACACGGTAATGAACCTTCAAGTTCCATAGAAGGCGGGTCATTTCTTGACTTTGAGCTGCTCGAGACGACTCAAATTCCTACTACATGAAGGTAGTTAATTGAGAACGTGTGGTATGCTATGAATAGAACCATCCGGTGTCAGCTGGTGCACGTTGGGTGGGTTTTATTCTTTATTTTTGTATAGATTAGACCAGTGGTATTCAACCTTTTTTGTTCGCGTACCCCCACATATAATTTATCTTCAACTTTGTGCCCCCAAAGTTGTTGGTGTATAATTCAAGTTATACTTAGTATATAATCTACATCTAAAATAAATTAAATAAATTATATTACTGATTATTCAGCGTTTATTATAAAATAATATATTTTTTAAAATTTCACGTACCCCCTAAGATGTCTTCGAGTACCCCCGGGGGTACGCGTACCCCAGGTTGAATACCACTGGATTAGACTCTTAAAAACGAAAATGCTTCTCTCTGCTGTACTTTATACAAAACAAATATTATACCTTCTAGTGAACAAAAACGCACCCCCTCCCCATTGTCTTGTCATTTATAGTTTGATATTCTTCAACTGTGGAGGAAATTAAATATTATCGAGCTCTGGTACAGATGTACTCGTGAGTTTTCAAGCAAATG